AATTAAGGAACAACTTCCCAAGCTAACTACCAGACAGGTTAGATCAGGCCCAGGGCACTTGGCTCCTGTCCATGCTTTAAAATCTGCCGTCTGCACAGTACAACTGCAAAACAGTTGGTCTCGCGGTGTAGGTGCCCCAGGCCTGCTAAGTCCCAGACCGTAGCAAACTTCAGGAACATGGTTAAGCAAACAGGTCTGTGCTGCCAGTTCAAGGGTGCGGAGGTCCTAAAACACAGGACTTCGTACGAACCTGACCGGACCGGAGGTGAACCAACCTGAAATACGGAGCAACCTCCACTAGCTCAGCTACAAGAGGCAGTCAGATAGTGTTCTCAAGAGCATTTATGCTTCTGTGATCAGAGGTCTTAAAAAAACCCAGCAAAACGCACAACCTGTCTATGGTAGGCTGCAAAAGAGCCCGACTAGGAAAAAACGTCCGAACGCAGCAATAACACCAATTTTCTGCCACCGTGATGGGGACTTTATTTTCATTAGAATCCAGCTCCCCCAAATCATGCTGTATTCACCTTGCACACGTTTTACAGCCTAGTTATCAAACAGCGTCATCGAAGCTAGCAGCGGGCAACTGGTCGGTATTACAACCAGTCTGGGCATCAGTTCTTTTTAATAGCGGTCACGAGTGCCCACTTACAAGCCCCACCAGGTAAGCCAGCACTGGCACCGTGTAGGAGACCTCCTGCTGCTGCACTATTAACAGGGGGAGTTCAAACTGGCTTAGCGGGTGCATGACGGACAGGGCCAGGGAGGTGATGCTTCTCCTCTATGCGGCACTGGTCAGGCTGCAACTGGAGTACTGCGTCCAGTTCTGGGCGCCACACTTCAAGAGGGATGTGGACAACCTCGAGAGGGTCCAGAGGAGGCCACTCGTATGGTCAGAGGCCTGCAGGCAAGGCCCTACGAGAAGGGACTGAGGGACCTGGATCTCTTCAGCCTCTGCAAGAGAAGGCTGAGAGGGGATCTTGTGACTGCCTATAAATTCATCAGGGGAGGGCAGCAGGGAACAGGAGATGCTCTATTTGCTAGGGCACCCCTGGAGTAACTAGGAATAATGGCCACAAACTGACAGAAAGCAGGTTTAGGTTGGACATTAGAAAGAACTTCTTCATGGTAAGGGTGGCCAGAATCTGGAACGGGCGCCCAAGGGAGGTGGCGCTCTCCCTTACCCTGGGGGTCTTCAAGAGGAGGCTGGACAAGCATCTGTCTGGGGTTGTCTGACCCCAGCGCCCTTTCCTTCCCAGGGAAGGGTTCGGACTCGATGACCTACTGAGGTTTCTTTCGACCCTAACATCTATGAATCTACGGCTGTCAGGGTTTCTTCCACCAACCCATTTATCTCCCCACAAAGGGGATCCAAGTAGTTTCTGTCCTTGTTACCAACCCTCATGGTGATGCCTAGATGCTGAATTACAAGCCCTGATTTTTCTATTGCAGACCAGGCCTAGGTAGTGGCTTGAAAATATGATGACTCCTGTATCGCTAGACTATGGGTTTTAGGCAGGAGTTAAGTACTTCAGCTCACTGCAGGACCCCAGCACTTCCAGCACAACCCACTTCAAGCAAGTCACTGAGCCACAGGCATCATGGGAGCTGCACTCGTTTATGAATCTTCACGACTGGACTTGGCCATCAGGTCTGGTCCCTAGCACTCACAGGCAATCAATAATCAAAGGGATCCCCCAGATCACCACTGCAAACCCTCACCCCCACCTACGAGGAGCAATATCCAAAACAGCAAGGACACTTCTGTGACACCCTACTTCACAGTCAGGGCAGCTAGGATCTGGAACCAACTTCCAAGAGAAGTGGTGCTGGCTCCTACTCCGGGGGTCTTTAAAAGGAGGATAGATGAACAGCTTGCCCGGGGTTGTTTGACCCCAGCATCCTTTCCTGCCCAGGGCAGGGGGTCGGACTCGATGATCTGCTCAGGTCCCTTCTGACCCTACCTGCTATGAAACTATGACACCCCATAACATGCCACATGTATAAGCCAGGGAAACAAGGGCACTGCCAATACCCTGGCACTGCAACGATAGGGAAGGAGTTACTTAAGACTCAGACGATCCTAGGAAAGAGAAGCATGCCATAGGCTAGAGGAAGACAACACCCCACAGTCTGTGCCAGTCTGACAAAGGGGAAAAACGCCTTCCTGACTGCAGATGTGGCGATCAGTCTGACCCTAAGCAGAAGAGCAGGGTCCTCTGGGTTTCCAGTAGCAGCCCAAACAACGAAGCACACCAATCCAAAACCACCCAGCCTTCACTGTGGTCAGCATCCCAGTGCCTCAGAGGAAGGCAAACTCCCCCCTGCCTCTCCAAAGCCAGGAGCATTCACAAGGGGAAGAAAAATTCCTTCCTTCCCGCGACTGACAACCAGCAAAGGTGGCCCGAGGCTCGGGATTACCAGATGTCTCCCAAACTAGAGCCACCTTTATGCCCTAAACCTGGGGTCTGCAATCATACGATGCCACGTCACGCCGATGGATGCATCAGAACTCCCCGTCTCATTATTTCTTGCGATGACACCTCACGTCTCATGCCATCGTCCCTTCTGTGAACTTATCCAGTTTGATGTGAACAGACCTCATGGTACAACTTAAAACAAATTTAGTTATATCGATGCAAAGACTTTGTATGGACGTTATTTAAATAGACACAAATCTGGCTGGTCACCTTCGCTTAAAATACCCGTGTACATCTTTGAGAATACAAAATCAAACTGCCCCTGAACTGAAACGCGCATCTACACCGGGGTGGGCAAAATGCAGCCCGCCAGGCCATTTTATGCGGCCCGCGGGGCCCCTAAAAAGTTTAGAAAATTAATATATATCTGCCCCTGGCTGCCTGTCATGCGGCCCTCGATGGCTTGCCAAAACTCAGTAAGCGGCCCTCCGCCCGAAATAATTGCCCACCCCTGGTCTACACAGAGATCCGACTCAATTTAACCGAACCAGGTGGAGCCTGAATCAGCACAGCTTCTACATAAAGAAGCCTTACTGTCATGGTCTGCAGTTAATGCATCTCCTTGTCACAAGTGTCTTTATTCATTCACGTGTGCAAGGTGCTTTACAGCCTACTCATCAAACAGCATCTTCGGAGCTAGCAGCAGTCAACTTAATGCCTGTCGGGCCTTTTCTCTGTCCATAAAGGAGAAACTAAAGACGACTTGGCCTGCACCACTCCCAGGACCAAATTCGAATGCAGCATAAGCACATGACACTCCAATTGTAACCCAGATTACTGGTGTTTTAGGGCTTGCTTATGCTGGGATTATTCACTGGGTAAAAACTGCTTTCAAAAACCAAATATATTCTCGGCACCCAATGTTCCTTAAATCCAATTGCACCAATTAGGTGGCGATTTAGAAAGCAAAGGGAGAAAAATCGATGCCCTAGGAATATTCTGACTAATGCTGGCATCGTTGAGGAACTAAACTAGTTAGTCTTTGTTCTTTTCCAACTCTTCCACCGGGAATACTGCCAGCCTGTTTTCCTCCCTCTTCCCCCTGCTCGCACAATTAATACAGTGCCTACAACTACATTCCTCTCAAACAAACAAAAAAAAAAGTTCTCCTCTCTGCCCATTTGTACTTTTTAGCTATGCTAGACTAGGTAGCTTTAAAAGCCTAGCACTTCATGAATGGGATTAACAAAGCATGCTTAGTGGCAAAAGTGCAGAGCTGTCAGTGATTTAAAGCTAGAGCTAGAGATATCACTTTTAAGCTTCAAGGAGCCCGTGGTGGTGAACAGCTCAATTTACAGTGTCAATCAAAGTAGCTAATGTTCAAGAGCTTCGATGCCTTGGGGGGAGTTGGGGGG